GTGTTGCCAAAGATGTGACTATTTTCCTGGTAAATATAAATTACACTACACAACATTTTCTGAAAGGCAGCCTAGTTATCCACCTAAGGTTCATGGTTCTTTTCCCAGTCTCCTCTGTCCCAGCATAAAGGCCTGTAGCTGGTTTGGTCTCTCTGAATTCCTAACTTACTTTCTTGGAAATCTGATAATATTTGAAATACCAGTTAAAATCTAGAAATATAATGTTTCTTATGAATGCTCCCCCACCAAAAATCTAATAACATTGCATAAAAAAAGACAAAAGTAACAATTTTCTTTCTTCAAAACCACTCAGCTATGCAATCTTTAGTTCTTTTAGACCTTCAGAAGGTATGATCAGTATGCATAGGAAAAGTCATGTCTCTTACTTCACTTTGCAAGAGTGCACTGCAGAGCATTAATAGCTGCATTGCCTTGTTAATAAACTTCAGTCAAAATGCTTTGGGAGATAATTTGATTAAAAAAAAGAATAAAAAACACCGAAGCTGAAATACTGCTTTTATAAGCTGCAAGATCAATTCACCATGTGCCTTTTTAATCAACTGAAATATATACATTTAAACAGAAAACACAGATGACTTAACATCCTCCCATATCACGTCCGTGAGCGTGACTAGTTCCTTGTAATTTTTTTTTTCCTAATACTCTCTTGTGCTCTGACTTATGGGGGAAAAACTTTCCGTGAAAAATGTGTGCTACTTTTCCACTTTTGGCCTTGTATGTGCTTCTTCTCTGCCTTAATTACAATATAAATCAACTGCAAAAAAAGATTTACAGTGATTACACCTCACTTAGAGAGCTGTGAAGATTGATCTGGAAGTGGTATGTTTGTCAAGTTCTGTGTCTACTTCTCGTCTTGGCTAGTTCTAAAGTGAATCCCAGGACAACATATTCAAAAAGCAGTAAATGTAGGAGGGAAAAGCTCTGGCATATCACTCTCTTCTTTGTGTTCTCACTGAATATGCCAACAACTTGCTCTTAGAAAACTCCAGGGCAAAAGGCTTTTCAAACAATTGTGAACTTCAAACCCATTTACTACATTAGGAGAAAATATTACCATGGCTACTGATTATTCCCCATTTTCTCTCTATGTACACAACTGGGTGAAATAGAAATTGGAACATGAACCTTCCTGTTTCAAATGGATTAATTCTTTTCTTTTTTTAAGATTGACTTTATTTATTTATTTATTTATTTATTTATTTATTTATTTATTTATTTTAGAAAGACAAAGAAAGCACATGTGTGTCCATGCATGCGAGTGGGCTTAGGGGCAGAGGGAGAGGGAGAGAGAGTTCTAAGCAGACTCCACACTGAGGGTGGAGCCCAACCTGGGGTTTGATGTCATGTCCCTGACATCATGACATGAGCCAAAATCAAGAGTCCCACACTCAACAGACTGAGCCACCCAGGCACTCCTCATGTGGATTAACTCTTACCACTGCCAATGAGAATTTATTAAGGACCTATATTCAGGTCACTGTGCTAGTTTCTTGGAGAGAAGTTAATCAGTCCTTACCTTTAGGAAGTTTGTCTTTTTTCTAGGGTAAATTCAATCATCAATGTGATCACACCAAGCAGAACAAAAACATAAAATTAAGAAACAAAGCTGACACAGTATACTGTGTCCTTTCACATTATATCAAGTCTTATAGCTTGACCTAACTTTCTGTACCTCTACAGACATCTGTCCTGCGCATCCCATTGCAGTTCAGGCAGGCTGGTTCAACTCTGGTCTAAAGGATCAAGGAGATGAAATGGCATGCCTTTTAGATTTATTTGTGTTGGATTTCTTTGAAAGCCAACTTGACTGCTTCATTTAAAAAGTGACCTCAGTGATTCCTTCTTAATGAAATGTAATAAAGCCTCTAATAAATTATTAGGAGAGCTATTTACTAATTTGCCAGTATACCCCTTTTAAAAATGGACTTACCTTTCCAAACACTCCTGAAAAATCATGTTTTCCTGTTCAATTGTTCCCTACTCTTTTTGTTTCCCTGCAGTGAAAATGCTCCTATCAAAGAGTCAAGTGCCAAAGATTTTCACTCTCAGTTCATGTGAGGACTCAGAAAGGATTGTAATCATACTTTAAAAATAAAGTATATTCTCAAATCTAGAAATCAGCTAGTAATTGAAATTATCATCACAGTATTTTAACTGATGACCATTGAACTCTTTTCTGGCAAACGGCTCATAGAGCATTAATTGCATGTCACATTACAGATCTGCAAAGTTAAGTTCTGTCTTGTCCTTGGGACTGTGAGTTCTAAAGCAACTTTGTAAAGTGTCTTTTAGAGTACAAAAGAAATCATTAAACTGCAAAAGTTCTTTTTGGTCTGAGAGGTATGTCCTTCATTGTCCCTTCAAATATCATTCATTTCCTGTTCCTCAAACCCATATTATCATCTACTACTTTTGACGGTGCTAAGAAGTTCCACCACCTTCTACTTCTACCAACAGCATCCAAGTATCTAAGAACACT